TCTATTATATGTACACTTCAAAGCAAATGATCAATAAACTCTTTATTTTCCTTACATGAAATAAAAATATGTCAAATTTTTACTCCTCCTTAGCACATCATTTGTTAGCAGCTCCTTTAAACTAATTAATCAGATAAAACACCTAACTTTATTCGGAGAATGGGGGCTTTCATAGTCACGCAAACAACATTCATTCCATCTATTCTTGTCACTAAACAATAATATATAAATTGAGCTCTTTGCAAACTAACATTTTGAGCTAGGTTCCCGCACCATTTTGTCCATCAACCTTGTGAGAACCTTTTTCTCCTTCCTTTTCCCAACCAACACCTTGTGTTCCTTAAGAATACCTCCCTTATGAGCTATAATTCGCTTCTAGACCTAGGATATACCTTTGTTATTCCAACCTCGAGCCACAATGTTTTGCTCTTATCCCCTCCATATTTCTTGTCCAATATTTTCTTCCATAATTTGCCTATCTTCATACCATTTGTTAAGAAACTGTTGATCATTTATAACCATTTGATTCTCATGCTCCATTTATTTATCAGTGTGCATACCCTATATTAATTGACCAAGTTAAGTTTTCTCTCCACCACAATATACATCAAACCCTCTAGCTTCTTGCTAATATCATTTGGCATCCTAAAAAGGGACACATGATAAAGAGGTAAATTGGACTAAGTAGACTTCATCAATGTCATCCTCCCTCTAATTGATAGAAACTTTAATTTCTATCAGTCCAATTTAAATTGTACACTTTGAACCGCATGTCCCATATAGATGGTGTGCATTTCCCATTAGTAAGAGGCAATCATGTTGGAAGTTAGTTGGGTGAAATAGAAGCAGAAAATGGTACAATTTGCAAAAATAGGATCTCGAACTCTTTTTCTTTTTGGTCACGCAAGAGCGTTATCTCAAGACGATATTTGACCCACTTCGATAGATTATTTGATGTGCATAAGAAAGGCAATTCGTCATTGGGATACAGGAAAACAAATAGGTCTTTTACAATGTTCTTAAGCTCTATGCATCTGAGCTTGAAACTCATACAATAGACACCATAGTCTCGATAGCTTAGAGTTAGAAAGAGATAAAATCGAGTAGAGATAAGAGATTTAAGCCCATTGGTTTACTTCTTGGAATTGTAGAGAATGATGTGGCGTTGTGAGGCTAAAAAATTGTTCTAAGTATCCAAACTTGTATGGGTAGGAGGGTCGTTGTTATAGAGCACCAAGAGGCTGCCCATTTAGTGTTGTGGTGGCTATATGCACCACCCAATAGCTACAAGTTATATGCACCCCAACAGCGATAACTTACATGCACTTCAAGGGTCACGTACACTTGATGACTACTGTTACAAGCCTCTATTTCATCAACGACTGGATGACCATTGGATGTCCCACATCCATCAATGACTAAATGACCGTTCGTAAGGGGGCTCAGGGTCACATGCACTTGATGGCTACTATTACAAGCCTTCATCTCATCAACGACTAGATGACCATTGGACATCCCACGTGCATCAATGGCTAGATGTTCGCCTCCATCTCATCAATGGCTAGATGACCATTGGAGTTTCACATGCATCAATGGCTAGATGACCGTTCGTAGGGGGCTCACAAAAAGATAATGAGCCATGAGCTTGACCTCACATACGTGCATTCGCGTGCCCCACTCAGGCGTCTTCTTTCTCCTTTTATACTTAGAGTATATTGGGGAATGCCTACTTTTAAATACACCTCAACAAACTCTTTCATCTTCAATGTGAGATTCAAACCCACATCTTCATCTATCTACAAAAGTATTTTAGAAAAAAATAATAAAACCAAAGTGTTGTTTTGAAATACATTAAAGCATTTTTCAAACAAAAAATACTAACAAGTCCCAAATATCTTATTGGGAACTCTTCAAATTAGCGTCATTTAGTATGCCCTCAGTGATCGGTTTACCCTTAATAAAGTCAATTGTGGTCGAGAAATCACCATTGGCAGAACTTTCCTCAACCTTCTAGCTATCATTTCGCTATAATCTTAAATAGGTTGGTGAGCAAACGTATTGGAAAGCAATCATATAGTCCTTCGATGGCCCCTTTCTTACACACGTGTCATACGAAACCAATCATTTAGTCCTTCGATTGCCCCTTTCTTACATAAATGTCACACTACTGTTATTGTTTAGTTTTACTAAGTATGAATTTGGATGTACCCAAAATTGAAATATTTTTAATCTAAAAATATTGTGAATCAGACTTTGAACCATTTGGACAATAACAAGATTTTGTTAGATTTTTATATTGAAATAAAAAATACTATCGTGTCAAGGCAAAAGTTACCGTAAAAATAAATTCACTTCACTTCAGACTTGAATTTTTTTTATGAAAGTGTAGCTCTCTCACCGTATACAAACCCCCCACCCAGCTCTCTCTATTTACCCTTGACCCAACAACCCAACTCTCTTGCTGTCTCTCTAATTGTAAACCCAAAAACTTCAAACTTTCTCTCTAGTACCCTGCTACTCAAATCTCTCTCTATCTAAGAAGCTCATTTGATGTTGCTATTGGTTTAGTGGCCGCGGTGCACCTTGAAGAACGAAAATTCCGAGGCTTCACACTCAACATTACCGATTGCAATGGCTTCTTCTAGATTGCAAGAGATTGACTAGTTAGAGTGGTGCTACTCAAATCTCTCTCTCTAAGAAGCTCATCTGATGTTGCTAATGGTTTAGTGGCCGCGGTGCACCTTGAAGAACGAAAATTCCGAGGCTTCACACTCAACATAACCGATTGCAATGGCTTCTTCTAGATTGCAAGAGATTGACTAGTTGGAGTGGTGCTGCTAATGGAGCTCTTTTGGTCAGATTGTGCCATCAATAACACAAATCCCAAATTCTGAAAAATAACAAAAGCCCTCTTTCTTTTCTTTGTAAATACTTTTGCAAATGAAGACTTTTTTTCTCCTTGTAAATTTAACCCTTTAGTGTCCTCTTTCCAAAAGAAAGGGCTAAACTTAATGGTGTGCTCCAAAAGAGAGGGCTGAACTTAATGGTGTTGCTCCAAACGAAAGCGCTGAACTTAAATCCAAGATTTATTTCAAAGAAGGTTTTAGGGGTAATGGTCTTTACTTTCAAGCGGATTTAATTGGGTTTCATGGTTATGTTGATTTTTGGGGGTTTTGGGTGGGAGTTTTTGCAGTATATTTTGAGGTGTTTAGCTTTTAGAGAGAGAAAGTTGTACGAAAGCTGTCTTTTTACTAATGGGAGGGATATAGGAAAACCTTTTGGAATGACAAGATAATTTTGGAAGAGTAGAGTGCAAAATCTGCTTTTTAGTATTTTCACACGCTATCCAAATAGTCAAGCAGACTAATAGAAAAAGATGATTATGTTTTTGAATTAAGGATGATAAAACTTACAAGTTTTTTCAATGTGAAGGTTTTTTTATTTGACATCCAAACTGACATTGAATTATCATGTTTTTGATACACAATTGTCATATTGCTTAGGTCACAATGCATTATAGTCCCCACTTGTACTTTAAATACTCAAATGAGTTGCTTCTATTATCGATGTAGCTTTCAAATTCTTATAGGAAATTTCTCTATTGTTTATACCTCACTCAAAAGAACCACCTTAATGACAGAGGAACCTCACTTCACTAATGGCTATTGTTATGACTCAAACGAGGGCCTTATAGAGTACTGACGCGGTATAAAATTTACTAGCAAATACCACTTGGCATTTAAAAAAGAGAAATAAAAATCGTGAAGAAAATCACAAGAAGAAATAACAAAATGCGTGGATACGGGCATTCCGACAGGGTCCACAAACACAATAGAATAAACAATGGACAATTACAAATAACTCCCAATACTACACTTTCTGTGTAACTTACCCTCCAACCTAATTTTTTCTCTCACTTTTTACCCCAAAATATACTTTTTATGTAAATAACCCCAAAGGAAAATGTTCATTTCTTTTATAACAAAAATGCCCTTTTCATACACAAAAATCATTTTGGCTTTGACGTTGACTTTCAAACCCAGTAGCAATTTGCCGGACGGCACCATCGCATTGCTAGACCCCCTGAATTTCTGTTGGACCGCCCTTTGCATTGCTAGACCAATTATTCCAGAAAATTAACTACCAGACTGCACTTGTATATGTACCGAACCGCAATTGACTACTGACGGACCATATTTGAAAAATGCCAAAGCACCTCTCTTTGCCGAACCCCGTTCAACTTTTATTGTCAGACCGCCCAAAAAATTAGTTTAGAGGAGAGAGGCGTGAGTAAGATAAAACTAAGGGAGGAAGTATAGACTTGCGTTTTTTTGGTTGGGGGAGGGTATTTGCATAGAAAGTGTATTTTGGGATAAAAAATGAGAGAAAATTAGGTTTGGGGTAAGTTGCATAAATCTTGAAATTATTTATAATTTTCCCAAGAAACAACCTCTATAAAGGGTCTCTTTCTACAAAAAAAACACTTTCTTTATTTCATAAAATTCAATCTCCTCAATTACATAGTACGTGATCCGTTTTACAAAGGGTTATAACTTTTTAAAACCAAAACCTTTCATCCAAATAAGGCAAGGACGTACTTACCCAGGGCTACTCCTTTTATCTCCTAATTCAAAAAAACTAAACTCCTTATCTCTAAATAATCAAATTAGAGTCTATATTTAAATAGTATCGAAAAATGTGGTTTTAATGTTAAAAATCTTTGTGATAGTCTTAAAATATATTTTTAGTTTTATTAATAAAATTTAAAATTTCAAAAATAATGTCTCTATGAATACTTGAAAATCTTGAAAATTAAAAATTCAAAAACATGTTATAAAATATATTATTTTTAAAATTTAAAATGTATTTTTTTACCGTTAAATGATCAATTTGAAGATATTCGAGCAGAACCTCGAAATTTTTGAGGTAAGGCTTTAATTTTGTTGTTTAGAGCCTCGGATCTATATAAACTTTTTCCCCTTTAAATATGATCACGCCGTAGTTTTTCCACTGCTTTATACATTCGCCTCACGGATAAGGCGTACTCTCCCGAAAAACACCGCGCTTCTCTCTCTCTCTCTCCAATGGAGCTTTCCGCCTCTCTCTGCAACCAAAACCCGCCCCCGCCCTTGAAAGCAGCTATCCTCTCAAACCCTCCCACCAAAACCACTTTCCTGTATAACCCACTTACCAAGACCGTCTCCTTTACCCCCAAAACCGCCTTTCGCAAAGCGCACAAAACCGCCATTCGTTCAGCCATTAGCCGAACAAAGAAGGAAGAAACGGTAGAAACAGTGAGGCAACAGCTTGAAGACTGTTACTTAGTTGCAGGCATAAAATACAAGGGCCTCACAGTTAAGCAGTTTCAGGACCTAAGAAGTTTATTACCTGAATCAGTGAAGCTCATTGTTGCGAAGAACACATTGGTGGGAAAAGCCATTGAAAATACACAATGGGAAGCTCTGAAACCTTGCATGAAAGGCATGAATGCCTGGCTATTTGTTCACACAGAGGAGATAACGGGTGCTTTAAAGCCTTATAGAAACTTTCAGAGAGAGCAGAAGCTTGATGATAATGACTATACGGGGGCTGTTTTTGAGGGGAGGTTTTATGGGCCTGATGAGTTCAAGGCTCTTGAGACCATGCCCACTAAGGCTGAGATTTTTTCGAAGCTTTTGGGGTTGGTTCAGGGGCCTTCGATATCGTTGATTGGGACGTTGCAGGCGCCTGCTAGGGATATTGTGGGTGTCTTGAAGGCTTATGTGAAGAAGATGGAGGATGAGGGCAAATGATTTAGTGACCACTGAATAATTTGTGGTAAATTGGCTTCTTTGCTTCCAAATTATTATTAACTTGTTGCCATTTTTTCTTCTTTTCTCCAAGAATTGCATATCTGTAAATGTATATGCTTTGTATTCTGAGTTTTTTTTTGCTGCAATTGTAATTTGTTGCATTAGTGGTTCAAATCGCCTAGTGTATCTGTTATTTTTGGTTTTTCTTTTGTGTAATTTCTGTTTTGTCTATGTAATTTGCATTCTTTTTTTTTTTTTTTTTTTCTGTTATTCCTTCCTCCGGGGCTTCTCATCCAAAGTTTGTGATGCCAAGGATGCTCTTAGGTCTTTTATTTACTTGTGCTCACTTAGTTTGAGATTCAATGTTGCCCATGATGCTCGTATGCCTTCCCTCTAGTGTTCTTCGGTTTTAATGATGCCAACTAGCCTGTAATTCTCTATCCTTGGGGATAATTCTGCAACCTAATGCTCTATATTTTTCTGTTTTCCTTTTTAAATCAGTTTGATAAAATGCTTTATCTTGATTACTATTATGAGGGAACGCAGCTGAACTTGATTGTTGTTGTGCATATAGTTATGGCTGTCTTTTTATATGTATGAGGGCAGCCTTTTATTGATATTCATGCTAAATGCAATTCTTTTCCTTAATATGGTTTCGTGTTTAGTTTGTTGACTTGCATTCCTTGTTGTGTAAATAGTGTGATTATGCTTTGAGAATGTTTCCATATGAATTCTCATACAATGTAGAAGTCAATCTATGTTGTGGATCCCCATTTTATTGAACCGGTAAGTTCTGTATTTTACTCTTGCATTTCAAATTGTTAATGCTTTTATTCACTTGTACTTCATAGGGCTAGATAGGTGAGGTGCTATGAAGTAAGTTATATGCTTAGAGCATGTTTCCTATGTGTCCTCATACTTATGAAGTAATTATCTGGATGAGACTTTTTATTTCATCTTCTTTGGGTTGCGCCCTTTTCCTAACCAACAACTATACCTCTTATCTCGTGTAACACTTCACCTTATGTAATCAGATTTAGGCTTTCAGGGAGGGGTGTGTGTATATTTTATTATTGTGTTGGTCTTCTTTTATCATGGATATGAGAATGGATGAATTAAGATGTGCATGCCATTTCATTGTGCATAAATATGAATATGCAGGACAAGGAGGACCTGTACCGAGAAAGAGAAAAAGATACCATTGATTTTTAGCATGCTAATGAAGGTTGAAGGATGCTTGTGCTCTTTCTTTGCTTACTTGATTTCTTCCATAGTCTTACACACTTTTGGATGGTTTATGACGGGATTGTCAGAAATTTGGTAGGCTTGTCGGGAGTGTATCTTTAAGCAAAGGGCATGACTACAATCTACAAAACTCATTTTATTTATTAGTGGGAAATTTTTTTTTTTTAGAAGAGTTGGTAGAAAGCGTTGGCTCCATTGTTTTAACATGGGAGAGTAGCGTTGAGAGGTTTGAGTGGCTGTCTTATAAAATGCCATACCAAAAAAGTCTTGTCTTGTTCATTTTAGAGCAGCTGTGGATAATTTGGCATCCAATATAGGTGGTGGAATCATATTTGGAGGGTTACTTGCTGGCAAATTTTTTTTTTTATGAGAGTAACTTGCTGGCCTTTTTTGAATTTGAGGTAACTTGCCGGGCTTCATAAATACTGGCATTTTTTTTTTTCCGTCCTGCCTCATGCACATAAATGTAAATGATAAATCTACATCGAAAGTGTTAGCTCAAGACAGTGTTTCCCTCATTCGTTTCTTGTGCCGCTTTCCAGATCCACTAATTTAGCTGCCATAACTGACACATTTGTTAGAATCTATTTTAGGATATAATGATAAGTTGCACATTATTGATCAAGTTGCAGCAATTTATGTGGTTGTTCTGAACTTCTGATAACCATAATACTAAGAAAAGAAAAGCTTGGGGCAAGTCTAAGTAGAGAAATATATGGTTTCATGTGAGTGGATGGTAAGTCTACAGAGGGAATATTGGAAGATGCTAAAGATGTTGAAGGTGAATTTTTCTTTTTTTGGGAATGAGTAGCAGGAAACCAATTGTCATTTGGATAAATTTGCTCTAGTGGAGTCATATTTGGTGTGTCGGGTATTTGATTGCCTGGACAATATGGCAGGATGAATGTGGCAGTCGCTTCATGATCCTTGTTCTTGCACAACGGGAACCAATAAATCACTGTTGGGAAACCTTTATAATCTGTAATGAACCATGCCGTTCGCAATAGATTTGTATGTGGATATCAAAAAGCTATATTTTTTGGTCCAATTTGGATGCCCCGTAACTTCTATTGGTCAATGGAGTTTACAAGGCAAAGGAAAAAGATATTTTTCTTTCAAGTGGTTGAGGCAGAGATATATGGTGAGGCGGAAGTATGGGACTTAACTCCTAAATCGGATAACTTTGAACACACTTTCCCTAAAACCATTTCAAAATTTCAAATAAGAACACAAGAGAAATGGAAATATTTCTTTGTTTCCATCCAAACCAGAGTAAATAGACATGGTGTTTGGACTCGCCCGAGTCACTCTGCCGAGCTCATAATCCCACCCAATACTCACCTAGGGGGTGTACCGTATCGTAGACTCTTCGGAGTTGCTGCAGTAACTCAGGCGAGTTGTCATATACCATGAGTTTCTAACGAACTAGCCATGTATTTCACCACTCAAGAAGTTCAATGATTTTTCTAGTTTAAAAAGGGGAAGGGGGGGGGGGGGGGAGGGGGATTTGCAGAAAATAAACTACCTTTTTGCTCATCATTCTTCAATCAAACCTAACGTTTTGTATCTAGAGTCTGCATCCTCTATCTATTGAGATTGAATTCGAGAGAAGAACATCTAATTTCTTGGTTTCAAGTGATTGAGATTTTCCAATTTGTGTTTGGCTGGAGACTGAAAACTTGTGATTTCTTCTCAAATCTAGCTCAGTCATGGTTGAAATTTGTTCCCTAAGCCTATTTTTGAGTTCCCTACGAAATCATAGTCTTAATATCCACAAATACTGTTTGAAATCTTGGATTTTCTAGTCTTTTAATAATCTAAACACTATTTGGACGTATACAGTGTTCTATATGCTTTTATTTTTCAAAAACCACCCAAAAGGAATAGCGGTTTAGTTTCCCAAGAAAACCATTCATAATGAAAAGATTATTTTTCTTTTGAATTTATATGATTCAATGTTCCAAAGAAACGCCAGGTGGTGCCTAGGCAGTGGGAGGGGGTTGGGGGGTCCATGCCGCCCAGTGCCTAGGAAGCAGCCCAGGTTTCTGGCCGGCCCAAGTGGTAGAACAGGGGCGAGAGGTGTTTGAAAAACAGTTATGGGTCCAATTTGTGTGTAAAAAATGCATATTGAGGCATTTTTAATACATTTTTTTATGTTCAATCAATCTGAACTCCAAAGACCAACCAAAATATTTGAGATTTGGAAAATTAGTTAATAACACATTAAGAAAAATAGGAAAATATAATCCAACATTCAAATTCAATACTAGGCACAACATATAGTCCACAGTCATAAAATACATCCATAAACTCCATAGTCCATACCATTACCATGATTATCATCCCAGTCCAAATCAAAAGGATGATGTTTGGATCGATTTTTCAAAACTTCGAATTAACCGATCGATCGAACAAAAATGCAAAAAATGCTTTTTTTTTTCCCCTTTTTCCACTCTAAAATGTAAAAAGAAGGTTTAGGTCTCATAAAAACGTAACCGCCCTCCTCCTTATTTAAGGGGTAAAGACAATAATGCCCCTCCATGAGGGGTATTTTCGCTCTGGGCAGACATAGTCCTTGGGACCCCATCCAGGGCTAGGCACTGGGGCACTCACCTGGGCGGTCGCCCAGGGACCTAGCGCCCCCAATAGGGCCGCATCGCCCCGGCCCCCCTAGCCTGCCTAGGCAGGCTGCTTTTTGAATCTATGATATGATTTTCGCTATTGTTGGGATTTTTTTGGGCCACTTGACTATCTCAGAATAGACTCAGCTGGTCCACTCGGGACTTGCTGAACTGACTCCCTCCATGCCCTTGGAGAACCTATCCAGCCGCATGGCTGTGTTCCCTCCAAGATAAAAGATTCATCATCATCATCATCCGAGCCTTATCCTAATGTGGTTTTTGCATGTTTTTTGCCAAGTAAAACCCAAAAAGGCATCTAAATTGTGTTAGTGGTAGTTTGTTCTTCTGTATATAGTTATATCTTATGCCTACAGAATTTATAGGTTTGGATTTCCTCTCCTTCGGCCTTGGCTACCTCTAGTAGAAACTGGAGCCAACAATTTAATACATTTAACCTTGGATATGTATGACCAATTCCTTGTCTCATGATATAGTGATAGTCCCTTTTCAGGTCACTTTACTTTCTCCACCTCTATCATTATTATCTTATTCCTTCTTATCAAAGTCAACAATTCCCTTGGGGACCTTTGGCTTCCTCTTCCTCAAGTGGCCAGATTGGGACCAGTCCCACAGTCCCACAACTTGGGCTTTTCTCTCTATCTGGAGTTTTACCCCTATTTGACACATTAGGGTCAATTACTCGCCCACAACTCCTAAAACCTGTGTCAAACACATATTTTAGTTGATCGCTATGATTCAAATTATTCAATTACTGAAGATGAGAAGCAGTTGATCAACAAATCCTAATACTGATATTTCACCTACATTATTGACTTTGAAAGTTTGATGGGATTTAGATGCCTTTCTTCTTACTTAACCTCACATTGTTCACCTGATTGTCTGATGATGTGTAAGTTCATCGAGATAAGGTCCATTAGGATATCATGATATAGAAACTCTGAGACTCGAACCGTAGCTGCTATCAAGTTCTTGACATAAGAAAATCTGGTAACAGTAAAGTCACCTTGATACACCATTGCTGTCCCTACCTTCTTCCTATAGCAATAAGCTCTCCCTTCTCCCATACACCACTGTCAACATACTCACAAAACTATGGACAGTATAGATTACAGAAAACACAAAAAAAAAATTGATCATA